GGGGTGGGACATAGTAAGGGTCAACTGGATGTGATTAAGCAGCTTTTACTCTAGAAGGCATACTAATTGGACAAACGATTTCCGATTTTAGGGCAAATAAAATGATGATTCCTGCATACAATAGTGACACATATGCTTGAAACACAGACATGGCGAGCATACAAACAAATACATACTCTCTTCAGGCAGGGCATTCTCCCGCTGGTCAAGCTCCATCTGTCGACACCAGCCCTCCAAGCGGTCGGTCTCCGCCTGCAGCAGCTTCAGGAACCAGCGTCCGTCTCTCTGACACACCGACCGCTGCACCACCTGCCATTCAGATATTTAGGCTTTCACAACATGTAGAGACATATCTGCAGAGTAAATTTGTATATACACCACAATGACACACCCATCCCCTGCTAGAAACATGGCAGTTTAACATGGGACTCATCTCCCTCTGTAGCATTAGAAACAGCTCATTCGAAGCGTAATGTAAAACATAATTTTCAATTTTATCAAAGTGATTAATTAACACTAAATGAAAAACAAAAACTAATGAATACTATATATTCCTATTTTTTTGACAATTAGATCCTCCTAAATGTTACACACTGGACCTTTAAGGGGGAAAAAAACAATTTAAAGTTTGCTTTTTTGAACTTTATTTCACAAGAAATCGATTTCAAATGCAGGGTATACAGTCTTACATTTTTGGATATGTTTTTCCACTGTTCAAGACCTCCATTGGTTCCCTTATGAAGGTATGAAAATCTCATGAGTCATGAAACTTGCCCGAATTCTGTAATGAGTGATCAGTGATTTAACAACTTATGCGAGTTTCCAGTCTACTACATGGTCCCTGTGGAGTTTTAGACCACTAGTAAAGCTATGGAGCTATTTGTTTATGTATGGGGCTTGTCTCTAATGTTGTCTGACAGCTAGGGGCTGGGCACCTAGTGTACAGTGGGTTTATCAGAGCTTTTTCACTGAAACCACTGCCTACTGCTGCTGGAAACTAGGTTGATTGAGTTGAAAGAGGCTAAAAAGATCCGTAGAGATGAGGAGAAGTGCAAGTTATGATAATTCTCTGTTCTCTACAAGCAACACTTTGCACATTACACATTAATTTATTTTATTTCTAATATAAAAATGGACCTAAATATGTGCCCACACACCTCTAGAATAGCAGAGCTGTTGAAGTTGACATCAAGTGGGTCATCTGTTACACTGTCTATCCAGGGGTCTGGAGGGGGGAGAATGGATGGGTCAAAGCCCACATCTTCATAGTCATCAGAGGCACAGGCGTGATAGTGGTTCCCTGAGCCCTGGATGCTGACGGTGGAGGTGGCGGCATCACGAGAGTATTGTCGAGAGATGGCACCAGATGACAGGACTTCCATGTCAGTGTCCGGGGAGTCTAGAGGGGTGTCCAGCAGGTCCGGCATGTCCAGATCTGCCTGGATGGAATAATGAATAAATCTTAATAACTGGCTGAATAAGCAAATTGCTGTTTGAATGGTGCAGGTCTGTTAAGCATACAGCATGGTATGGGCACTAGAGGTGTATGGTAGGTTTAAGGTATGACTTTATACTTGACAACTTGGGGCGGCTGTGGCTCAGAGGCTTCGTGCCTACAAAATCGGCCAAGGTTGGCTTGTTCGATCCCGCTCCTCCTTTGCCACGCGTCGAAGTATCCTTTGGAGCAGATACTGAACCCCAAATGCTCCTGATGCAACAGCAGTCGGTGTCGTGAATGTGTATGAATGGGGTGAGTTTTCTGCGGCATGACGTTGCATCGCTGTGTAGATGGTGTGTGGAAAGGGGTGAATGTTGGCACGTAGTGGTAAAAAGGAAGGACTTAAGAAAGGCACTATACAAGTACAGGTCCATTTACCATTCCATTTACCAATTACGTGACCTCTCAAGGATTGACAGCCAAGAATAGTGGTGTTACTTTTGACCCTGCACTCTCCTTCAATCTGCATGCTAGAGAACCCACCAAGAATGCTTTTTTCCACCTACCGAATATTGCTTTTATTTGTTTTCTGTCCATATAGAAAGACAACAATCCACCCTTTTGGTTCCTTCAAATTAGATTTCTTTGACAAACTAGGCCTAACTGTACTTACTGGGGAAAAAAATATGTGAGTCACATTTGGGCGTTCATTTCGGATTTTTGAGTCCAACTTTTGGCCCCCTACTGACAACAGTATCATTTACACAGTCTGAAAGCTTTATAAGGAAAATGTGTCCATCACTGGGGTTAAATGGGGAGTAAAATGCTGTTTCAAGGGATTTCACAAGAATGATCAATGAGGGAAACATGTAATATCTGCTCAGAAAGAAAAGGTCAAGTATAGTATGTATCTACTACCAGGGACTTCCCTCATTTTCAAACACTAAATGATATGAAAGGACCCATTCAGTGACTCTCAAAATAAGACACAAATGCAGCATTCATGAAACTACATATTGCACAATCCTCTAAAAAGAAGATGAAGAAAATGTTACCAAATGTGTGATTGGTTACTGGTTCTGGATTTAGATCAAAAGTAAATGCAGCAGTTTACAAGGAAAAGGCATTCTAAAATGCTGGATCTCCCAATGTTAATAAATCTTTAAAGACAGATATGGAGCCACACCAAAAACAAACCCCCTGTTCCTTAGCTACTGGCCTAATTTCCACTGAATTTCATTAGACATCTCTTTTAAGATATTTTGTAAATTACAGTACACCAACAGGGAAGGAACACAGGCGCTTTGGAGGAGGTAATGATTTGAGCTGAGAAACCTAATAATAAAGCCGCAGTAGTGGAAGCTTACCTGTACAGCTGCTGTCACACTGTTGGAGCGCTGGAACCGACGATACCTGACCACAGGAGGTAGACAAACAGTAAATACTAAACATCAAGATTTTTCCATCCCTACTTCCAGGCAACAAATTTTAAGATTCAAGATGTAAGGCTTTATTTATTACATACTCATATTTCAGTGGTTATGATAATAATACGATAATCCTGCCTCCTTACAGTCTCTGAGTGAAGTCCTTGAAAGGATGCCACCTGGAGATGGTTACAATGGAGAAACTTGGAGGTGGGTATCAGGGAAAATGGTCTGTCTGATTTGAACCAGAGTGGTGCTCCCTCTGGGTTGGGAGTGAGTTGTAGCCCCAAGTGTCACAGGGTCTTGTTCATGAGTGAGGGTAAAATGGAACATGAGATTGACAGGCAGATTTGTGCAGCGTCAGCAGTAACGCTTGCGTTGTATTGGACCATTGTGGTGAAAGGAGAGATAAGCCTGAGGGCGAAGCTCTTGATTTACTATCGATATACGTGTTGGATATACGTTCCAACATTCACCTAGGGTCATGGGTTTGGGCAGTTACCGAAACAATGAGACTGCAGATACAAGTGGCTGAAATTAGTTTTCTCCCTTGGTTTGCTACGTAGAGTGAAGAGCTCAGATATCCGCAGGGATCTGTGTGTAGAGACGCTGCTCCTTTGCATCAAAAGCAGCCAGATGTGGTGGTTAAAAATGATTGACAATTTCAATCAATTAATTAAGTTTAGATAGATCAAACACTCCTCTCTTCAGAATTGTGGGACCAGAAATGTGTCAATGACGAATTAAGAGCCTCTTATTCAAAGTTATATCTCTGACAATAGTCCAAGTGGCAATGTTATGAAAAACATATTTGATAGTGTGGAAATCCCTTTCCTTCTTGATGATCTGCGAGCTGACCTTGAGACACTAATGGATTCTCCTCAGATTTCTTTCGAAAATAAAATAATTTTCTAACCAATTGGCCTTATTTTTTTAGTATTTGTCTTTGCTGAATCTTTTGAACCTGGCTCTTTCCTCTATTCATTTAACCACATATGCATATCTCTTTAAATTAAAAATCCCTTGGACTGCACCTCTTAAAGGCCAATTTCCTTATTAAATACGAATGTTACAATCCTTGCAAAGGTTATGTCACATAAATTAGACTGTCCTCCCAAAAATCATCACCCCTGATCAAACTGAGTTCATAAAAAACATGACTGTAGAAAAGGTTGAACAAACAGAGGCCTAAAGAAAACTACATTCTACAAGTCAGGGAAACTGGTCATCAGCCACAGTTATTAGAGTGTATAGCAGAGGATAACCTAGGCAGATGAATGTGTGGGTGTTTGTTTGTGACCAGAGAGAGAAATAATTACACAGCAGCCAGAAGTGACTCAGCTAGGCTTCCAAATCTGCTTAAATCAAAGTCTGAAGGAAAATACACCACATGCAACAGAACTCCAATAACTGAATATGTCATCCAATCTGATTACCATACAAAAATGTGACTAACCTTACTAACTTGATACTAAACTTAAATATAAGCCAGTGATCTAATAATTGTAAGAACATATGTACCTTCGCAACTGCAATTTTGTACATAGTTTTACTTTTTTGGTTATGGAACCAAATCTATTCAGGATTTTTGGAACCTTGGTGCCATAGCGAACCAGCCTATAATTCCACCAGTTTTGAGCACATTGTAATCAGGGACGATTTACTCTTTATGTGGGAGAACCACATAAAGAATGTGTGAATGTTCATCAAAATAGTTATCATAGTAGAGTACATGTTTGTAGTGGAACTTCAACTTCCTTAATCTCGTCTTCATTCTCAACTGACACTAGCAGTTTATCATGGTTTTCTGTAGTCCCCATATCCCCGTTGATGCAGCAGCCCTGACACAGAGTTCCATTTTGGAGGATTAACACATCTACACCATAGCTTACCATGGAGCCTAAGCATGGAGTGAAGTGAATTCATGCATCCATCTATCCTACATATGTACCTATTTCAATTAACAGTCATTCAGATGCTAAATGCATGGATTGGTCAGGGAAACATTTCAAACAGGTCACTAATGTAGTGCATACATATTGACATCATACACATTCACCATGTTAATTTACGGGCAATTCAGAGTCTTTGCACTGGGGGAAACAAACACAAATATAAGGAAAACATGCAGCGGAACATGAGGGCTGACATTCTGACGATCATTCTGAAGATCTACCTGCTGTTACGATGGTTATCCTTTAGCTTTGCTACCCATTAGTTATTTCACAGAAATAGAAAAAGGACAAAATAGGTTGGATAAAGATGGAAAAGTGGATCTTGGCTAATGTTTGTTGTTTGTTTGCACCTGTTATTTTGGATAACTGTTTGGCGCCAAGGAACTGATTTAACTAACCAAAAAGCTCAGTACCTCCTGTTGATTTTGTCCCTTACCACTCACACTGGAAACACAACCCTTTAATTGGCCAAAATTAACAGGGGGAATGATTACACTGTGCAAAAACTGGTACCTGACTCCTGTTTTAGGACAGACTATAATGACAGATAAAGGGGTTTTCCTTGCATGCTCTGAAACCAAATATCCAGCCTTGCTTATATGTACTGTGGATGTTAAATTATCAAAGTATCTACAGAGTAAAAGGTCAAAAAAAAAGAAAAAGAAAAGATAACTGTGCCTCACCCTCTGTCATCCTCCACTTGCACCCCTACAGAGGTGAACTTAGATGGGTCCTCTGGATCCAGAATCTCCTCTGGTCCATCGACCTATAGGAAACAGACAGGATAAATACCTAATAATCATGACTAATAATAAATAAATAATAGCAGAATAAAAGCATAGTAGCTTTTTTTTTTTTTTTTAAACTTTTTTGAGTAAAGAGGCATACCAATTACAACTAAATATTCAAAACTAAAGGTATTGTCATAAGGACGACAGCACTGATTAATTAAAGGTTATACATATATATGAGATTGACAGCATGAATATAGCAGCAAAGAACTATTAGGTGAGAAATAGTGATATTACGGCTATTTATGGTTAAACAGAAGGTCTATCTCTGTAGGGATCCTCTCCATAATCCATAATGCTGTCAGTGGCAAAAGCAACAACTTTTAGTGGACGTTCTTGCATTTGTCTCTTAAGATTAGCTAACAGTACATGGCAGCCATTGTAGCCCGCTTCACTGCTATTTACTTATAATAAAGCCCACACCTTACTATGTCAAAGCTTTCTAAAAGTATTCTTGATTTGGGGAGGTAATAGCGACTTTTAAGTAGAAATTAATTAAACATAGATACACAGGCTCTACATAATAATTAAGTAAATGAGGTCCATCTCTTCCTCTGGCCTCCACCTCCACTGCTGTCTCATAAATACCTGGATGCCTATGGAGAGACATTTGCTCTTCCTGAGTGCTTCTTTCCTGTATTCATCACGGTGGTCTTCAACAACTGCCCTCCTGGACAGGACTGAGGGGGTGGGGGTGCTGACTGTCATGGTGCTGTTACTGACATGCTGACTGGCTGGTCCATGGACCTACACAGGAATAATGAATAGAGACAAAGTATTTTGTGAAAACAATATTCAGAAAAGCAATGAAAATTAAAGCTGGAAGCAGCGATGAATGGGCCCTCTCAATCCACGCAACTCAGGGTGTGCTGCAGCCGCGTCACGTCCTGGCCTAACACGTGCGGACCACAACATGAAAATTTCACGTAAATCAGATCAAAATCGCCACACAGCGCTTACTTCCTGTTGCCAGTAGGTGGCGCTATCACTATGTCTGAATATTGTCATGTAGACGGTGTTCAGGGCGGGACTGCTTCCAGCAAACGTGAAGTGTTCCATTAAGACTTGGTCGCCATGTACACTCGAACGTTATGATTACCACAAAAATATGTGAAAGTTTAGTCGGAGATTCGACCCCCATCCTTGTAACCTGAAGTAAATTACAGTACTCTGTTTTATGGCAATGGGCAAAGGGTTCGACGTACATTTCACCAAATAGCACACACATTTTGGGTCATGCCTGCAGTTTGGTTCTCGTCGATTGTCTGACAGCCACTTTTGAAAACATGAAAAAATTGGCACAATTTAACAACAAGCAAAAAAATTGCCGAACCTTTGATGGGCCGACCGGCCCAGCGCTCCATCATTGTCCGCAGTCCATGCTGTTGTCGTGCGCGATAGGGGCGGCATCTTTTTAATGTTCGAATCATCATCCAGTCACCACTATGTAGTTGTGTGCTACCTGTTGTTGGCTGGTGCACCTCTTGTCCCTGTCTGTGCTGTCCTGTAATGTCCGTGCTCTGTCTCCTCTCCCTCGTCCTGTACTAACCTTAACTGGTTTGAGGCCAGACGACCACCACCCCCCTAGAGCCGATGGGTTGTCCTAGCGCGGTTTCTGCCCGTTAAAAGGCAGTTTTTCCTTGCCCCCGTCGCCAAGTGCTTGCTCATGGTGGTACTGTTGGGTCTCTGTAAATGTTATAAGGAGTTCGGTCTAGACCTGCTCCATTTGAATGAGATAAGAAGGGACTAAAATCAGTCCATAAATCACCC